TTTTTATATGTACTTGGTATAACCGTCACTCATTGATTTTATTTTGAATAAAATTATACATTTTTGACACCTGTCTACCACATGTAAGAGTTTTATGTGAAAAACAAATGTACTAAGATTGGATAAAATAATACGTGAATCGAACACAATGAATTATCCACAAACGAGTAGATAACATTTGAAATCCATTATGATACACTAGAACCTTGAACTATAACTATAACTATAGAAAAATACCAAAAAAGAAACGATTATGAAATAACTGAATGGATGGTAAAACTGGAACCTGTGGCGTACTATGAATCCAATCACCAGAACTGCAAAACTTTTCTCGACGCGCGATTCACTAACTGAGTTAGCGTCTTCAGAAAATGAACCTTATGAATGAAGATACACTAGAGCAGGGGTCGGCAAGTAGTTTTAGGTGGGGTCCGGATATTGTGAAAACATTTTAACGGGGTCCATAAAAAAACAAATATTAATAATGAGGTGCTACATATTAGTTTGGTTTCAAATCACATTCTGAATTATAAAAAAAGGACAAGACCTCTTATTAATGTGAGAAACTACACCGACGGTCTTGAGGCAGTTTTTTATACTTTGGTTCTCGAGAGGAAGAGCAAATTCGAAGTGTGTCTTCTAGGTGAGCGTCTGTTAATCTCGAACGATATTTGTTTTTCAAAAAATTCATCTTTGAGAAAGAAGTTTCACATATGTATGTCGAGCCAAACATAGTGGCAAAATTGATAGATAGTCTTTTTCAATTCTCATATTGTTCTGGGACATGTTTGGCCCAAAATTCTTCAGTGGATACCTTTCTTTACATTTGCAAAGACACATCTTCTTGCAGCCACATTTGCCCATTTTCTACCTATTTCTGCAAAGTCTTGGAATCTTGTAGCAAATTCGTTCTTAAGATTGGCGAGAAATTATACAAATTCTGCAATATCTTCGACTGAGGTCTCCTTTTCAAATTCAAGAATTGTCGGAAAATGAATAAACTCTTGTTAAACGAGTTTAGCCAACGAACATTGTTGTGTTGTAATAACCCAACAAACAATTATGTAAAATTGACATGAATGTTACATGACTGATAAAACGTGTTATGTAACTATGTTATGTAAAAGTGACATATCTGTTGTGGCGAATTTTCCGCCATGCTGAAGAGTAGAATGTGATCTCATAAAATTAATTAACTTGACCAAGTTGTCCATCAGTTTTTTGAGTGTAGCACTAAGTTTTCCGCAAAGGACTGCCTGGTGAATTATGCACTGATACGATATTAGATCTCAATTTTTATCTATGATTTTCTTCAATACACCTTTTTCCTTGTCAAAATATCATAACTGATGTTATATTTCGTAATAAAATTATCAATGGCCTTGAAAAAGTCTTTTCCTCGAGTGTTACGAAAATTGACATTTGTTCATCATCAACAATGTCACATGATTCATCAAGTGCTATGGCGTAGCAAGGTGCGTTTTGCAGATGTTCAAGAAGAGTGTTTTTAATGTCCGCAGCTAAAATTTCAGTTCGTCGTGTATTACTTCTCGCTGACAATGGAATACTTTGAATTACAGAGACATCTTTTTTTTTCTTCAAAAAGTGACATAACTACTGCCAACATACTTTCCTTCACTATCTCAGAATTTGAAAATAGTTTCTGGTGTTTATTAAGCGTCCAGCACACACGTAACGCTGCTTCTGTGGATTTTTCTTCATCGCTCATGCAACGAACTAGTAATTTTGTACTCTTTTCTAAAGAACTGACATATGTCAGAATTTTTTCTTTACGAGCCTGACTTCCAAGAGGAAAGTTTTTGTGGAATTGCTGATGAGTTGTTTCGTAGTGTCTCTTCAAATTTCTACTTTTAACATATTTCCGAAAAAATGGTAAGAAGTTCAATCTATGGATGTTTCGTGTGCATAACAGAGATTTGAAAATATTTAAATCGCATCAGTCTGATTCTCACACACATGCAAAATGGGAAACTTGTAAGTACCTACTATGTTAACTAGGCAACTTGAAATAGAATACGTGCTAAGTTAGATTTTATTTGTGTTATTTCAATTGATGAAGGTATTGTATGCCTCGTCTACGACTTTTTATATGTACTTGGTATAAAATACAATATTTGGGGCGGTCCGCGGGTCAACCTTTCGCGGTCCGTAAACGGACCGTGGTGCGCCTGTTACTGACCGCGGCACAAGGAGGATCAGATTTATTTTTGAAAAGTTGAACGTTAAAGTAAATTTAGAAACTTCTTTCTCTAAAGAGGTTGAAAACTGGAAAGTCCAGAATATTTAAAATAAGCTGTGAGAACTGTTACAAAAAGCATCAGTCAGATAAAGCAAGCCTTTAAAACTCGTTTCAAGGAACAGGCACCACATAACCAATTTCGGAAACAAGAAAAATTTAGTGTGACTCGACACGATGCTTTTAAAAGTCTGGAATATCTGAAATAAGTGAACTATGGTATGAGAACTTGAAGAGTGATAAAGGTTCCTTTCCAAATAGCCTCTTGTTCAACTTCTAATGAATCACTCTATTGAATTATCTGGAAGTTCCACAAGAAATTTTTCCGAAATCATCGATGTCTTTTGGGAAGTAAAGGTGTATCCTGTTGGAAGTAAAAATATACCATTTTTATAGTAAGGAATTAGTTTTCTCCATCTCCTGAAGACGATGACTTGGTTGGTGAAACGTGCATCGAATAGAGTATTGCAGTTCTGATGTTTTGGAGTATTTTTTGTGGAATTTTATAACTGTTTCATAGGAAAGAAGAACTAAATGTAGGAATGAAATGAAATCGACATCGAATATAACAAAAGAAAATTGTCAAAAAACAACAAATTTATCCAGAATTCGATTCTGTCACCATATATCAACAAGTTTACACAGTGTGATCAATTTCGATAATTACGTCGAGAGTTTTCAACAAAACAAAAAAGAATCACCCGATTCTAATCTGGCTTGAAATTTAATTTTTCAGAATATCTTGCAATCTAATATGACACAATAGGGATTGTGTACAGTTATGAGATATTGAATTGAATTAATTGTGGTTCACTCACCTGTATTCCGGAACTCCAGCTGTAAAGACATAACTCATATTACCGGATGCAGAAAACAGTACGGGTAGACATAGTAGACCATATATAAAAATCTGAAATGTTCCTATTTCTCCCAATTCTTCTAGTATATCATCAAAATCTACACTATAACGCCGCATTGTGTATGACCTGAAAGAAAGAAAAGTCAAAGAGGGCGAAATCAATTTTTAGCTTAATCAATATACGTGTAGGTTCAATTTTTTGTCTATCATATAGCAACATAAAAATTTGAGATTGAAATGAACTTTGCAACATATTGAGCTGTGACATATATATCTTGACTATTGGGGGCTCATCTTTGAGGCTAAAATCTCCGGAACGAAATTTCGCGAACCAATTTTGAATAGTGCGTTCATTAACACTATCATTACTAAATTCGTGGTACACTTTTTCACTTATTGACATCATACAGTCAGTAGTAATCTGATGAGAAGATGCAAAATATTTAAGTTTGCAAAACATGGACATTTTTTAGATGGTTTCCGGGTTTCAGATGACATGTCGAAAAGAGTACTTCGACCACGCCACTGAAGATGACTGCCGCAGTTGCAGTCGAAACGTTTGGAAATCATAACCAAAGAAGAGCACGGCAAAACCCGGAAACCATCCAAAACATCATTATTATTGACTCAAAAAGGAGTATAAAAGTATCAATGGAGACTGAAATATAAATTGGTATATTCTGATACTATAAGATTAATAAAATATCAATATAATGTCTTGTCTGTTCTTAGTGATGTCCAGTTTCAATAATAATGAGTCCTTCATTGAGCGCATCCTATTTTTGAATACAAATGAAACAAAGTGTGTGTGAGATACCTTCGAATTTTTTTTATTGGTTTGAAAGACCTTTTGATGCCATTAGAGCGCATCCAAAAAGTCCAATTTTTCATGACTCTGGCGCATAATTCACGCTGAATTTCACCGATGGCACGCATTATAATGGTTTTGAGGAACGCTGTGACTTGTGGTTCATTCGCATACACCTGCGACTTAGGAAAATCCCACAAGAAAAAGATTAAGAGGGTTGACTCGCACGATATTTGTGGCCAGCTCACATCGGGGCCTCTTCGCGACGGCTGAGCTGAGTTCTTTGATTAACATGGAAGAGATGTTGAGATTGAGGCGACACGGATGCATCTCCAAAGACGCCTACCAAAAATCCGACAACCATAATGTTCCGTCACCATCTCCCTGTATATTGGGTTTGTCTGATTAACTAGAGTTTTTGTTTAATTTTTACATTTTTTGTCTCATCTATCGCGAAATGACAGTGGTTTTCTGTGACTTCCGCGAGAGGAAGATCGCGCACCTATATTGGGCATTCGGATGGCTACCAGTAACGAAAACGCTCTTGTGAACTACGGTCGTACTCACACAGGACAGATTCGAAAAGGTTTTGTCTCTCTCTCTCTCTCTCTTCAGCAACTCCTTAGATGACGTTGTGACCAGAACTAATGTAAGAAGATCACAGTCACGTTCAATTTTCTCCTTTCAGTAATATTATTATTTGTTAATACTCATTCTTTAGCACTGCTGAACAAATGGAATTATTCGACAATTTTTAAAAACCTATTAAATACAGTCCAACAAGTCACTCAATATTCAATACATAACTTGAACAAACGAGTTCTAACCCGGTTTTTTTGGCATGTCCCTTTTCCGGGAGTATCTGTAGAAAACCTGAACGTGAGCGAGTGTAGACTTTGATGGACCTGAATACCAATTCCATGTTAATTGACACATAAGCCTAAGGCAGGTGGTGTCAGAACAAAGCACAGCTATCCGGGAGTCTACAGATCAAACGTTGAGAATTCAATAACAACGTGAGATACGCTCACTACTGCCTCACTCGCGCGGCGGTAGTGAGGTCGCGTCTTGCTCTACGGTTTCCCCTCCCCTCCTCTTCATTCCTTAAAATGTTATGACATTTGATTTGTGGATATAATGTATATACTGATTGTGAATAAAGACATTTTGATTTTGGTATAGAAGGTAAACCAAAAAAGGTGATTAGGACGGAATCGTGACGAATGACGAGAAAGTTTTGTATTTCACTGCTTTGTTTTTATTCATTTACAAAACATTCTCGGCAACAGTGGTGCATACAACTTTTCAACTCAGTACACCACGAACTTCACTGTTCAAGAACCCTTTCATTTGGAGAACTCCGGTTATGTGCAGCAAACTTCCTGAGAAGGTTTTTCCAAATAGATTTAATCTCCAGCCATTCAAATCCAATGTGAATCGCTGCTATCGCACATTGCGGATAAACCTCACGATCGGACGATTATGGCGACAGTAAAAATGACGAAGCGCGTGATACGTTGCTCGAATAGAACCCTCATTTTGATAAAACAATTTGCACATGATGTTGAATGCTATATTTGTCCATGGTGATTTGGCAGAATATAATGAATAAATGACACCCAATTTGACAGATATAGTTTCAACAAGATGTCAATGTTCAATTGACAAAGTTCGGAAGACCCCATATTTTGTGACCCCTGTGATGATTTTTCGGTATTGAAATATTCATAAAAAATTTCAATGTCGCCTTAATATACTAGTAAACTCGAAAATCTCAGTTAGTTATTGCAATATATTATTAATGATCTTGAATTATGACAATCAAACAGAAAAACAATTTATTTCATCATGAACTTTTGTGAAAAAATTAAACCAATATAAAGAAATCGAAACAATTTACAAAAGAAGTAACGACAGGACCGTAATTTAAAATTGTTGTCACTGACGATGGTAGTTATTTCAAATGAAACGCTATAAAAATATCAAATGTGATATACCCTTGGATTGTAAATTTATTGTAAATTATTATCTCTAAGGAAAAAGACAAGTCCGTATTCAAAAAAAAAGTTGAAGGTGGCCATGTTGGCACGAAACGTTTTATCGAATATTCATTGTTACATAAGTACACTTCGAATACAATAACATTTTTTTTTCCATTTTTTTATATTCTGCGAAATAACAATTCCATTGGAAAAAAACGAAAAACTGCATTTTTTATTTCCCCGTATAACTCGAGAAGGGCGGGAGTCCCTGTAAATTTTCTCCGACCATTGTATTGTTTCCGATGACAGTTACATATTTTCCCATTTATTCATTTTCGTATCTGTTACGGATTAGAATATAGCAATGTTACCACATGACAAAAGAAACGGCCTGTAGGTATCCGACCTTAGTGGGGCGGGAGAGACAGCATAACGCCGAACCAGTGGTAAGAGAATCACACAGTCGCTTGCGCATGACTACCCGTCGCCACGGCTCACGTCGCCAGGCCAGCAATCGATTTTATGTACGCCCATATAAATGTTTCACATCAAGAAGTGTTCTGTATCTGTATCTGTGGAGTAGGGAGGGTGAGTGTAAACCCACAGCACTTAGGCCACATGTGACCCATTATACATTCTCCCGAGGAGTTGTCCTCATCGTCCATCCTGTTCTTTTAAGGAAGGTGGACAGGTCACTGGGAGACATCTCCTTCATATCGGCAGGTGTAGGCCAAGACTCGCCGAACACACACACTCTTATTGTCGATAACTCCGGGCACTCCCACCAGACATCCCTGACAGTCTCATCTTCCTGTTCACACATCCTGCATAGAGGTGTGTCTACAAGCCCCATATTATGGAGGTGTTTCCTTAGTTGACAGTGGCCAGTCAGAAAACCTACTGTTAGGCGTAGAATTTTCCTGGTCATCGCGATATTTCTTCGGCGCCAGCTTCCCAGGGTCGCCCAAGAAGTATTATTGGAAGCTATAAAAAAATCAATAAAGAATATGTAATCGACAAGATATGCGAAGCCCATGCTCATATCATTCTACGTCTTCCCCCAATATACGAACGGTTATTATTAATGGAGTGAACGACAGTGGTGAATGGATGAAATGAAAATTCAGATAATGAATCTTAAGTTTTTATTCAATTCTCATGTAAGTACAAACTGTTTTTTGTTGGCATTACGATTAACTACTAACAAAAAAAAATATGTGTGAGTTTATGACAAATAAAATTAATTTTGACCTTCTTTCCATAAAAATGAAGCTGACATTATGCGAAAGTCTCATTTTCTCAAAGCTCTCATATTGTGACAGTGTTTATGGACCTTCCTTACGCCTATGCGATTCTGTCCGTCTGTAGATAATACAAAATGCTTGCATAAGGTACTCATACGGATGTCGCAAATTTGACCATATTAGCCACAAAATGGAAGAATCAGGTTGGTTTTCAATACAGAATATGAGAAAACTACACCTCCTCACAGTTACCCACAAAACCCTTCTGACACGAAAACCAGCTTACCTTTGTGAGAGATTGAAGTTGTTTTCAAGCATACCCAACTCTCGGAAGCGACATAAAAATATCTTAGTAATCCCAAAGCATCGCAGTTCCATTTATATTCGCAGTTTTGTTGTGGAATTGGCCGCGGTGGTAGTGCGCCCGACTCACAATCGGAAGATCGTGGGTTCGATTCCTGCTTCGACCAGATATTTTTCTCGAGAGAATTTATCTGTTTGAAGCGGGGATGATTCTGCAACCGTGTTAGGAATCACACGTTGAAAGGTAAGACCTCGTTAGTCCTTAGCTCACACAAGTTTCTCAACTTCTGAGAGTTGTTATACGTATGGGAGCGACAGCTGATTAACGAAAAAACAGATTTTAAACAGATTTTTTCTAAACAGTTTTTTTTACAATGCCGCCAGGCTCTATAACCAATTGCCGAATGAATATAAATCGTTCAGTCTACAGAATTTCAAGAGATGATTGAAAATCAAATTTAAAGGAAATTTGGACTGACACTCTTGATAACCCCACATATACATATGTTCGATTGCCTTTATAGATTTCTGTATTATACTTGTAGACACTCCCTTTCTCATTGTAGGGTTGAAAAACAGCTCAGGCTGAATACCCAGCAAATCATCATTTATTGAAATAGTATCTTACTGTCAATGCTATGTATTATATTGTATATTATGATGAATGAAGTCTATTTATCATTATTATCAAAAAAATATACCAAGCAGCCCATGACATACAAAGGACGTTCGGTAAGTAATTAGTTTTAATGCCATTCTAATTCTAACTAATGATAATTGGCTTTGATAAAGTTCATTCAAAAAG